TATCTATTCAATAACAACCTTTGACCTGGGTGATACGGACAGAGCGGCGGATCCAAGTGGGGGAGGGGTGGAGGGTCAAGTGGTGGGGGGGGAGGTCAAGGGGTGGGGGGGGGGGGGATTTAGGAGGGGGGAGGGAATCGCCCACCACCCCCTCCCCTTCTCCCCATCTCGTGACCTTGAAATGTGCTCATTTTATTCAGCTTTAGCATAGAAATTAGTTATTATTTATCTCAATCAATGTAGGGCCATACATAAAATAAAGATTCGCCTTTTGGGACCACCCCAAATCCCCCCACTTTGGAAAGTTTCTCGACAGGGCTCCGTGTGAGCGAGTCTGCCTGTCCACCTCTGTCGCTCACGAGCGGTAATTCACACGATTCACTCCCATCTCTCTGCTCGTTCAATTCAAGGCGAATGTGTCCCAAGAGACGGAGACGCGGCGATTACCTGGTGGCTTGCTCTGCAGGGTTGTTTTGTTGTGCGCAAAACCCAAGAGATCCGGCTGACGCCGTCATACACCTCTGTACGTGAGAACGACGACAACCTTAAGTGCCAACGCACACCTCACGCGAAAATATATCACGTTAGGCGCGGCTCGTTATTGTGACACGCACACCGTGTCAACCCATACGGTTTACCCCGTATTTTTGTACACGAAAAATTTAGTTTTCAGGTCCAGCCATTTCAATATGGGCAATTTATTTTTGTTTATTGTTTGTGTTTCTCCCTTGCGATGGGACCTTTTAGGATGAACGTTGAGATTTATATGGGCACGGGGTGACCAATAAAGTCTGAATTGGTCTGTAATAAGGTAGGGCACTGGCAAGGGGTTGACAGGTATGGACACGTAACCCACCTGGAGTTGCGGGTGTTTCTCCTCTGCGGTACAAAACACCCAGAGCGTACGATGGGAAGACGGATATCTCGCGATCAGAAGCAGAATTTGTATTTATCCTGGAGAAATCCGATGAGCTATGAAAGTACTTTTTCACAGATGTCCAGGAGGGAGGGGGCAGAGAGTTTCAACAACAAAATTACAAAAACACAATAGGGGTGTAAAGTATAGTAGTAAAGGTAAGCAAATTACGAAACAAATATATATACAAATAAAACCAAACGATTTTATCTTACCAGTAAAAAAACAAACTGAGCTATTAGCTTATTTTTCAGAAGCGACCTGGCCATAAATGATAGCTCAACGAAGTGTGGAAATTTATAGCAGCGGAATACCATCGGAGGGGAGAGCTACACACAGCCGCGAAGTCCTGAATGTTGCAGTGGTATCGCACAGCTGACAACAAAGAGGAAGAATGGCAGATTTCCTTGGACAGCCACCTCAACAGGAGGACAATCCTGGGGAGACCGGGACAGGTGGCAACCATAACCTGAGTCACTCACCCACCACCTCCATCGCCGGACATTCTCCATTGCACTGTCGCAAGACAGAACCCAAATGTCGCCACTGCTTGAATCCGTTTGGGCCCTGCACGTTCAGTGTAGTGCTCGTGCCAACGGCGTCTCAGAAGCCAGCAGCATCTGTTCGACAGGCCTAGCTCTGCTGATTAGACCCAGCAGGACAAAACTGGCCCGAGTTTCACCCCGTTTAAAACAAACGCCCTTAGGCCGATTAATTTAAAATATTTATATTCGTACTTATTATGCATGTGCAGAGACTAAGTTCGCCCGTTGATTAATCTGTCAATCGTGTTCCGTGGCAAAAAGCATGGCACGTGTCTTTTTTTTCTGCGCAGGGCGCCAACATCGATGTCAAGTCGTGGTTGCAGGAGTCACGTGACCCAATTAGAGAGCGATAAATCACTAACCGCATGCGATTCAAACGGCACAAATCAAATGTAATTGGACGGGCCCACGTCATGAGAGCATATGGTGAGATTTGAACACTAATTAACCCGTGGAGCGGAGACCGAGAGACGGCAAATGAAGTAGCGGGAAAGAGACAGCGCAAGAGATGAAATCACAGAGGCCACTGCCGGACAACGAGAACCACCTACCCATAACACCAAGACGTCAACGGTGTACCTCGCCACGGACTCGACGTCCCGATCTCCCTGCTGAGATCGCGCAGCTGTCGCCATCCTTGAATCTCACCAAGATCCGGAAGAACGCCCAAGGCGAACAGAGTGGAACAACGCGGGCGTCCGGAATGAACGCCTCATTCGAGACCCACACACCGCCTTTGGCATTCCTTCCTCGAAGACACCGGTGGTCCAACCATTAACCGCACCTCCGATGACCACGGTTGGCCACGTACCGTGCGAAAGAAATTCAACATACATGCCCACAGCCACAACAGAACGTCAAACAGGCCGCTGCACTCATCTCCTTCACAAATGGAAAGAAAAAAAAGACTGCGGCCATGCAACCCCAAACTACGTACCACAGAGTAAACCCACTGGACACCCATCTCAGGCCTATATAAGACCTTGTTTCAGTAGCTCTCTCTCACCTGAAGACGGTCGCTTGTGTTGCGATCGAAACGTCGTGATCTATTAATTTTCTATCTACGTGACTTTACCGAAAGAACCAAAGAGTATGGAAACCGGCTGGAGTTTGCGCTCCTTTAATGGAGGTGGAACAGCAACATTACACGAACTCTCGCTCTCTCTTCGGAAGCTCTCTCTCTCTTTCTCTCGTCGTGGCCAGCAGCAGACCTCTACGTCGGCGTTTAACTCCGGAAGATGTTCCTGCCATAGGCCAGAACATAACTACCTGGCAAGAACGAGGAGGAAGTCATCGACTAACATGGGGGGAGGAGGCATTTGGCCAGCAGTTGGAAAGTTGCAGGCTGACAACCGCTCATCCTCGCAGCAGCAGCGGCAGCGGCTTTTGGCAAACCCGACCCAAAAAAAAATGACGGTCACTGCATCGCGCGCTTTCAAATGAGCTTCTGCGCTCTTCTGGAGCGCTCTTCCTTCCGACACATGAGCTATGCACTTTCAAATCTAAGTTGAAATCTCATTTCTGCAGGAGCTGTTTTTTTGTGTTGAGTTTTGTTGTCCTTCCCCCGCACCTCCGATGAGCACGGTTGGCCACGTGCGGTGCGAAAGAAGTTCAACGGCAACTCAATATACACGACGACATCAACAACAACGCAGTCAATTCTTACAAGGTACGATTCGCTCCACGGATCATGCACGAGCTGAATCGTCGATTGTGCTCAATAAATTGACGCGTTGCAGGCCCCATCCACGTGGGCGAGCGAGCGAGCCAATGCAGAAGGTTTAACGGCAACAGCAGCCAGGGGCGGCGAACACAGTTCAGGTGAAGTTGGACAGCCCATCAATTAATTACCGAGAGTTCAGATCCGGAATGCGGCAGGGTGACCCGCTAATGGCCCTTTAATTGCAACCGCGAAGTTAATGGCGCACCGAGCAATAATCGAATGTCATTTGATTTCAAATAGATGGGAGTTAAATTGATGGCAGTTAACTGGAGGCGAGTGGGGAGTCTCTCCGGTGATCACATGGAGACGCAAAGCAATTGTCTACCCTCTCCCCACTCGCCATCGGGGGCCATCCAAATGTAACCAACCCACGGCTCCGGTTTGATTGGGATGTGGTCATTATTGCAAAAGGGTGAAATAGATTACGAATCACACTGTGAGCGATTTATGAAACATTGCCTTTTATTATATTCAGCATGATGTGGGCGTAAGTGGAAGCTTTTAGCGGTTTGTTAATAGGTTGCTATTATCGTCCGTCCGTTTGCTTGTTTCTGCCAGTGCATTCCTGCATCATTTGGGGGGGAGAAGCGGAGGAGCGGTGGCGAAGCGGTTAGCGCATCCACATGTGTTCAATCCCTGGCCATGGCCAACATGGTCACGAGTGAGTCGGTAGTCAGGATGAGTTTCGGATTTAACTTCTGAGATTTGTGATAATTTTTCGGGGTGGGGAGGGGGCAGTTTTCAAAGAGAGATTTGAGTTTGCAGATACGGATACGTAATTTAATTATTTTACGAGATAACAGTTGAATTTGGTAATTTTCTAACTTTGAGAATATTTTTGTTTACGAATTTAAATGTTAAAAAAAAACCAGAGCTCACACTCGTCAACGACACCGCGGCTTTAAAAGATACAAAATATATAATCGGCGGCGTCTCTTGGTGATCGCACGCACCCTTTGTCAAGAAAGGCACAGCAGGTGTGAGCGTCACTTCCAGACACGTCAAACTTTGCGATCAGAACCTCAAACTTCGTACGCTTTGGGGATTTAATTCCAACATAGGTATCGCATCCCCACAGTAGCAAGTCACGTTCTGACCCCGTGCCCCTCACGTGACATCTGTGAAAACGAACTTTTATAGCTCCTCGGATTCCTCCAGTATAAATCAATATTCAGATTCTGCCAGAGAGGTTTTTTTTTGGGGGGGGGGGGGGGTTAGATCGCGTAAATATAAATGTGTCGTGAAACCCGCCACCACCCGACACAGCTAATGAGTAAGATTTGTCACGTAAACAGAACATGCCAATTCATTATTAGCCCAGCACACCGGTGTTGTGGATTTGCTTAAGTGACAAACCTTACTGTCTGCTGGTGAAGGGTTTAACGACACATTTATATTTACGCGATATAACCCCCCCCCCAAAAAAACCTATATTATGGATATTTGGTCGCGAAAGCCTACGTGTTAAACATTCCGATTCTGATCCGAACCGGTTGTCATTTAAGGCATAGTCACCTCCCATTACTTACAATGGTATCAACATTGCACGCGAATCCAGTAAACGGGGTACTTTGAGCCAACGTTTCACGTTTACTGGGGATGCCGTCATCCGGCAGGGGATTGTAAAAATAATTAACTAGTATAATAGCGTGGATGCACAACACTGTTTCACGTGTATAGTGGCTTCGCCAAACAATTACGTTTTGCATCCAATAACAATCTACGCGTGCTTCTGAGGACCGTTTAGAGGCTTAAGCAACAGTACTGTACATAAAGTATACAGATGCAAAGGGCACGTGTCGCGTGAGATACATACCTCGGTGGTGATTTTAAATGCAGGAGGATTCTCTTCTCTTAGACAATCTTTCAAAAGGCAGGGCAATGCAAAGAATTGGAAATATCTCAAAATTCAAGAACAAATAACTCAGCCCCACGAACAGTCGGCGTGAGCTCTGTCTAGCCAGAGTAGGGCAAGCAAATGTTACCTTTCTGATATGCCACGTTCTTATCGGCTTTAACAAGTAAACAATAGAATAGTGGGCGAAATACTCCGTGTCATCTTCCTCAGTGTTCAACGAGCGACTGAGATTTAAGGACCCACCGAACACACAAACGAAGCGGCTATCATAATTCAAAACTCGCCGAGGAACAACTCGTTTTACAATTTTTTTTTTTAAAATAATCCTAATTAGTTATTATAACGAATGAATAAATAATGAGTAGCGCTGCTGCTTGTTCGCTTTGCTTCAAATGGGAAAGAGAAGAGGAGGCGTTCTGTGAGACGTGGGGTGGGATGGGGGGGGGGTGGGTGGGTGGGTGGGAGGCAGAGATGGAGGCAGTGCTCTTCGCGTTGTCTGGACCAGGACCAGAGTGGCCGTGGCGATCTCGACGCTGATTATTTGAGGCGCGCGGCCGCTGTGGGATGGCATTTGTGGCGGTTGTCATGGGAACGCCGAGGTGCTCATTCCTCGTCTTGGGCGGAAGGACCGTGGCAAGGGGAGGCCGGGCAATGAATGAATGTTAACGCGTTGTCGTCCCGCCCTCGCCACCCAAGCCACCCTCGCCGCACAGATTTATTATTTTTAAATTGGTGGTTGACCGCCGGTGTTCTTGCTTTACCCCTCACCCACTTCACACCAACCACCCACAATCGACCGCTGATGGGGGTTTTTTTTATTGTATTTCTTGAGGTAGCTGTCGAATCTGTCATCGATCTGCCCGGCACCTTTACTAACAGAAAAAAAAGTCACGTGGGTTTTGTTAGTTTGTGTCAGGTGCGCAATAATAATAATGATGATGATGTGAATACAAAACGCCAAGACAATATGTTAATTGGTAGTTCACGCCTCTTCTGCATGGCGCTGTAATATATATACATCGTTCTTCCGATGATTATAATAAGAATTACATTTACATAGCCCGTTTCATCGCGGATCTCAAAGCGCTGTGCAGGACACAGCAGCAGCAGCAGACACCCGGCATAAAAATAATATAAATACATTCTTCTGCCGTAGCTGATCACTGTTACAACGCTGTGGGTGATCACGATATAATTTTCTCCGATACCAAGGTTCTTTGCAAACCCACGGGTTTATATCAGAGATTTGTTCACGAGGCAATTCAGATTTACAAACACAGACACAATTTCAACCGAGAAGATGGTTTCAAATTAAGCAACCATTGGAAAGATGTTCTAAATCGAACCAAACATTAAACTAATTTTCAATGGTACAGTATATTTTTTCAAGTAGTGGTATCCCAAACTTTCGCAGCTGCTTAAATTCCCTTTTCACACCATCAATATGTAAACTCCCCCCTCCCCTCCTCGCCGGTCTGCACATGTTCACCTCCTCTACACCGTTCATCATGCTAAGTCCGGCAATTAAATGCAATTTTTTTATGCTAATTCCTTTGTCAAGGCACTTTAATTCCTCTCACACAAGCTTAAAGGTCGCGGTCTGAGCTTGGCTGTGTTCACTCCAGCGCTGTCCTCGAGACAGTCTGGTCCCTTCACCTGATGAAGGCCACTTGTGTTGTGGCCGAAACGTCGTGAATTTTTTTACTTTTTATTTTTTGTTTGTTTTATACTTTTACGTGACTTTACCGAATAGAACCAAAGAGTATGGATCCTTGCAGTCACGAAAGCTTCAAATCTAGAATTTTAAGAATCGTTTACTAAATGAACTAAAAGTTTAACAAGCGGAAACCCATTTTTAAAAATGTCCACAGGCTCAGCGATCCTGATATTTCGTGGAAGAGCGTTCCATAGCCTGGGAGGTGGCAGCCCCTGAGATACAGCTGCCATCTTAATGTGTGCCTATCTGTGTGTCTCTGTGTTATCTCTCTCTCTGCTTGTTGTGTCTCCATGTCTGTGTTTTGTCTCTCTCTCAAATTTAGCAATATTTGGAAGAACGTTAAATCAACCAGGTAGGGTGTTGACTGTTGTGTTAGCCGACTCTCTGTTTTGTATTGCATTATATTTCTAAGTTTACTAGGTTTGTTTTCTCTTTCATTTGTACCCGATGATGATTTGCTTGTGTTGCGAACGAAACGTCGTATGCTATTATTTAATTATTCTTTTCTTCCTACGTGACTTTACCGAAAGAACCAAAGAGTAATTGCTGCGGTCACGAAAGCTCCAAATCAAGTTTGCCATCTAAATGCCAACCTCACGTAGTCGGTGCCGATATTGAAGGGGTAAAAAAAACAGAATTCGATCGGAGAAATTCAACTAAATAAACGCCCTCCTCCCACGTCGGTTCGTGTTCGTTAAATATAATTTACAGGCGAAATATAATGGGGCCAGCGCTGAAGGGAAATGGCATAGTTCCCACCCCCTCTAATTAGCGTCAACGAGGCGAGCGGGCGCCTCCCTAATGGAATGGAGCGGGCGGGGAGCGTGGTCAGCTTCGAAAGTCGCTGGCCACGCGTCCCCGCCACGCGTGGCTGCGTGGTGGGGACGCACCCTCGTCGAAGAAACTCCCAGCCTCTCTGATTCGTAGCGCCCCTGGGGGGTTGGCGGAAGACGGAGGGGGGGGGGAGGTGACGCAGCGGTCGTACAAAGCCAGCGACAGCGAAGTTTACCCAGTCCCGCTCAGGGCCATCATCACCGGTGACGATCATCATCTGAACCGGTCCTGACCCCCACGCCCTCCCCCACCCCCCCAGACAAAGGCGGCCGGGTGCGGTGTTGACCTGCACCCCCCCCCCTTCCACCACCTCGTGTGTCGTGCCGGCCCTCATAAGTGCTCGCTAACAGCACTTGCCTCAACAGCCTATTGAAGGCTATACGGGACATATTTTGACTTTTGTTGTGCCTTGCCTTCGTGTCGACTGCAGAGGGCCCTCTCACGTCCAGCATGCCGGTGCAGAGATGATGGGACCGCACGCTCGAAATATATAAATATAAATGTTTACACTTAAATATCACTATCGTTTTTAATGAACAAAAAAGAACGGAAAATAATACACTATAACACGATAACAAAATGTAATGTTAATAGCTTCAAAAAGTCAGTCTCCACTTGGTTCGCCATCGTTGTCAACGCGTGCCTGGAATCTTCTGCAGGTGGTTCTGCAAAACCCAGAGGCAGCACACTTCTCCTGGCATTGTTGCAAAGAAGCATCAGTTCCTCTAAAATGGAAACATTCCTATGTCCGTCCACTTCACAAAGGGGGCCCTAAAGATGATCCAAATAACTACCGACCTATCTCAACTTTGTCCCCGTTGGTGAAAATGTTTGAAAAATTATTGACCTACCAAATTAGCAGTTTCCTGTCCACCAACAATCTACTACATCTAAAACAATCTGGGTTCCGAAAAAAATACAGCACCACATCTGCTGCATTAGACTCTCTGAATCACATTTACAGTAGCCATGATAATAAGCAGTACTGTGCCTGTCTTTTTCTAGACCTGTCCAAAGTTGTAAACTAAGTTGCCTCGGTTTTTTTGAAAACGCAGTAAAATGGTTACAAAATTACCTCTTTTCTCGCACCCAAACTGTATTCACAGATGGTTGGAGGTCAAACAGTGTTAAGATAACAAAAGGGGTTCCACAGGGTTCCATCCTCGGCCCCCTTTTGTCCTCTCTTCATGTCAATGACTTGAGCACTGACCTGGATCATTCCAGGGTAAATCTTTTTTGCAGATGACACGATACTGATTACTGCTGGCCGCTCTCCAGATGACGTGATTGCTAAGCTACAGGGTGATTTCAACAAACTACAACATCAGCTAGTTGCTCTTAAACTAGTCCTGAATACCTCCAAAACCAAGGTGCTATGCTTCTCACCAGGACTAAAGCAGGAAGTTATTTTTCCCCAATTACATTCCTTAAATAATGATAAAATAGATCAAGTCAAGATTTATAAGTATCTTTGGGTCATCCTGGATTCAAAACTGAATTTTGAAGATCACATTGATTATATTGGTAAAAAGACAAAAATAAAAATTGGTTTTCTGTATCGACACAAGCACTGCTTCCCCCCAATGTTCCGTTTGGAATTGATAAAAGCTACCATACTGCTTCTACTTGACTACTGTGACATCGTGTATAAATCAGCCCCAAGTACTGTACTGAAGAAGCTTGATTCCATCTATCACTCGGCCTTAAGATTTACATTGAACTACCCATATAGGACTCACCACTGTGATCTCTACATTGGTTCAAACTTAACATCTCTTAATGTTCGACGGCTTGTGCACCAGATCTTATTTATTCACGATGTACTTACAAAAAAATCCGCAGACTACCTGCTGGATCTCCTCTCTGTTTCAAAGAACAAATTTGACCTCAGGTCTTCGCTCATTTACCAGCTTCACATTCCCTATTGCCATACAAAAACTGGAGGAAGGGCCTTTGCTTTTGATGCCTCCAGGGTCTGGAATGCTATTGCCAATGAACTGCAACTTGAATCGCTACCAATGAGATCTGCTCTCAAAACTGCTCTAGAGGAGTTGTACAGCCCTAGCTGCCACTGCTATTCATTGGCGTAAAATAAAATAAAATGTTTCGCTCCGGATGACGCTGCAAAGTATTTTCTGTATTTTGATTTAGCGTGCTGATCTTAAAGGTGCATTGAAAAATTTGATACTCCAACTGATGCTTCTGTTGTTGTGGAGTAACTCATGCAGCCACCTATGGCTCTAGGATTTGGTGTTACATGTTATTTAAGTAGTTTATTGTAAAAATTCAGTCACAGGCCCTATGATCACTGTTACGTTGCAATTATGGCTTTATTTTTTGGTGATTTCGAATCGTTTTTTGGTTTGTACATGTTTGTTTTGTTGTAGTACGGAGTTCGACTGACGGCCTTAATCTAAGTTTTCTTGTGGTTGTTGTTGTTTGACTTGCATCCCACTGGGATTTTTTGCACACAGCGTTGGTGTACGGTGCTTTTTTCAGGAATATTTTGCAGTTTTTTCATGGATTTTCTATTTGCACAGTCACATAGTCACTTTAAGATGTTTTTCTTGTTCGTGTTTTTGGTTTTTTTTGTTTGTTGTGGTTGCACCCGATTCAAGAGCCGAATGGCTCACAGGGCTATACAAAAAAAACTGAAAAAACTGGTGTGAGTGTAGAATGCCGAGTGTGAGAGTGTTTAATGAAACAACAAAGGCTCTCTTAGTATCCCTCGTCTCTGCGTGGTTGTACTGCACAAGACACATGCCGGATGCCTTGGGGACTCTCACGGTTGGGAAGCCGACGTGCATGGCTTTGGTTATTGAAATGCGATGATGATGATGGATAGGAAGGGAAACTCGCAACAGCCAGCAG